ATATTTGGCTCATTTAAAGTTGGTAGACCTAAAACAGGCAAGGTTTCATTCTAAAATACAAGCAGGACCATCTCCTGAGGTATGGAAGACCAGACAGTGCTGGGAGACAGCAATAGCAGATGCATGTGTGACTACATCTGCAGTGCAGCTGTTGAGTAGTTTGCAATGGAGTAGGCAAGCAGAAATTCCATTGTAGTAGGGCAAGGAATTAGGGTAACATAATTGCCATAAATGTTCATGGTCTAGCTGCAGTATAAATAAGACAGTTATTTCTTCCTTAAAGATGCTACATTTTGAGATACAATATAATTGTGTTCATTGGAAGGAATGAGAAATAAAAGACCAGTCATATTAACTAGCTGGTTAAAAAATAACATTTTGGTGATGGCAATTAAATATTATCATCATAGCTTCATAGCTTCTCCATCACTATTTAAAAAAAAAAAAAAAAAAAAAAAAGAAAATCTGAAATCTTGAACTTTACCTATAATAAACTTTTTTTTTTTTTTCAAGAGTGCTAATATATATTGTGAGCAATTAAACAGTTAATCTGCTCATACAAAGAATCATTTAATTATAACAAGGAATAAATAAAAGGAATAACTCAGACACTAGTTTCAGGCCTGGAGCCATCCTGTATGATTTGGGAGACAGCAGAATTTGTGCATTTAAAATGCCCTCCAAAAAATCATGTGCAATGACTTGCTGGTACATCTATAACACTGCAAGAGCACTTTTCAGATGATCTGTAAGCATGGCACTCTGCTCTCCCTTACATCCAGGTGTCTGACCCAAGCATGCCAGTAGTCTGCTACACCTCCAGACTCTGGGGATCACCTGTCTTCTTAGGATATATTGCAAATCATCATTTGAACTGACTATGTATTTGACCATGAGAGTGGCCTGGCTGTGGTCTTAACCAGGCAGCATAAGTGTATCTTAATGTCTCTAGTCTTGCTGAGGAAAGGCCTTGCAGAGGGATCTGGATAGGTTGGAGAGCTGGGCGATCGCCAATCGCATGAAGTTCAATAAGAGCAAGTGCCGGGTCCTGCACCTGGGACGGGGAAACCCTGGCTGCACGTACAGACTGGGCGATGAGACGCTGGAGAGCAGCCTAGAAGAGAGGGATCTGGGGGTCGTGGTAGACAGCAAGTTGAATATGAGCCGGCAGTGTGCCCTGGCAGCCAGGAGGGCCAACCGTGTCCTGGGGTGCATCAAGCACGGCATCGCTAGTAGGTCAAGGGAGGTGATTGTCCCGCTCTACTCTGCGCTGGTGCGGCCTCACCTCGAGTACTCTGTGCAGTTCTGGGCACCACAGTATAAAAAGGACATGAAACTGTTGGAGAGTGTCCAGAGGAGGGCTACGAAGATGGTGAAAGGCCTGGAGGGGAAGACGTACGAGGAACGGCTGAGGGCACTGGGCCTGTTCAGCCTGGAGAAGAGGAGGCTGAGGGGAGACCTCATCGCAGTCTACAACTTCCTTGTAAGGGGGTGTCGAGAGGCAGGAGACCTTTTCTCCATTAACACCAGCGACAGGACCCGCGGGAACGGGGTTAAGCTGAGGCAGGGGAAGTTTAGGCTTGACATCAGGAGGGGGTTCTTCACAGAGAGAGTGGTTGCACACTGGAACAGGCTCCCCAGGGAAGTGGTCACTGCACCGAGCCTGACTGAATTTAAGAAGAGATTGGACTGTGCACTTAGTCACATGGTCTGAACTTTTGGGTAGACCTGTGCGGTGTCACGAGTTGGACTTGATGATCCTTAAGGGTCCCTTCCAACTCAGGATATTCTATGATTCTATGATCTGGATACTCGTGTTACATCAATTACTTACAGTAAGGAGGAGAAGAGAGCTTAAACTCTCTTCTTACCCCCAGTAAACCCCTGCATGGTGTAACTGTCCCCACCAAGGACAATTCTCCCTACAAATGGACTGATATGGTATTTCAGCATGCCTTTTATGTAGAGAGCAGTTGATAAATTAATTCCTAACACATTGCCTCACAGTTGACAGGTCCAAGCTGATTAACTTGGCTTGTGGGCAGCATGACACTAGTATGCAGAGGCTGTGAATCCTCTGCCTGAATATGGTGCTTTTTTTTTTTTTTTTTTTTTTTTTCTGAGTGACCTTGAGCAAATCATTTCTCCATTTTTAATATGAGGAAATTGTCTCAGGCTTCAATTTCAAACACTTCAGAATCTACGCTTGAAAAACTCTATATGAGAACTAGCTGTTATTAAAAGTAGTGTGAGGATCTGTATGAGGTCCCACCTGTTTCTATGTCTACTGTTCTCTATTTTCATTTCTCCTTTTGTCTTCCTTTGCTTCTTACAAACCCATTCTCATAATCAGCCTCCATGAGACCACTCTCAAAATACACCCCATAAGTAGCCTAAGAGACAAAGTCAATAAACAAGATGATTACTATTTTTCCTTTTAATCCAAAATAACAAGATATACTTATATATAATGCTCATGCCTCTGCTTCTCTTGCAGAACCTTCTTTTTCCCTCATTGATGTTTTGCTATTGTTGTTACTTGACATGATATATCTGCTTCAGCCCAAATGCCCTTAAAGGCAGGGCCTGTATCTTTTTCCTATCTTTATTGTGTCTTCCATATAAATGTAGGAATGAACATTACTTTTGAAATATTTTCAGAATAACACTTTGATGATTTACTGTTCTGTGTCTTTGTAAACACTTTGTTTTCTCCCCTACAGGGAATCAACTGTTCTTTTGGATCTTTTGTAACTTTCTGAGTGTTCCTGGTTTGTCTGTCACAGAGCTGAGATGGGTGCCTTTAAAAGCATTTGCTTCATACTCATTGATTTCTTGCAGAGTCATATCACCCCAGGGCTGATTCTCACTACCTTTTGTACAGTTGCTCCTGCTGCTCCATGCTGCTGCTGTCTACTTCCTTCTCTCTCTCCAAGGAGAATGTTTGTTTCACTGGAGGACTGTACCTAATTTCTGGACTAATCCAAAAGCTGTGTTTGCAGCAGCATTAGAAGCAGCAAGGGTCTGTATGGCTCCATGTCCGTTCTCTGACAGAGGTTACAGAACACTCCTACGAAGCCTGAGAGCAGGGAAAACCCATGGAGGCACCTCCCTGGGACACCTCTGCAGGTCTGGACCTCCCAACCCACACCGCCATTTTTACCAACCCACATCAGATATTTATTCCTTGAGTTTCTTTTGAGCCCATTTATAATTCGGCTTCCAAAGCATCCTGTGGCAATGGCATTACAGGTTGTGCATTATGTGAAGTACTTTTGGTGTAAAGCCTGCAGTCTGATAGTTTCATTTGGTGCCTCCATGTTCTAGTCTTATGAGATATAATAACCATCATTCCCTTCCTTCCTTTCTCCTTGCCATTCATCATTTTATAAACCAGAAACTTTTTTTTTTTTTTTTCCATGTGCTAGAAAATGCAATTCTGCTTAATATCTCTTTGGACAGAACCCATTTCAAACCTCTTCCTTACTGCCTTTCATTATATGTTTTTCTTTCTGAACTGGGGTGGCCACAGTCATGCTTAGCATTTAAAACTAGGACTTTGTGTAGTGATATAATGATGTTTTCTCTCCCCTCCTCTGTTCCTGGCCTAACTAATATACTACCAGTATATATTATATTTCTAATATACTGGGCAGGAAGGGGAGGTTAGCTGCTATTAATCTCAGAATGAACATTTTCAAAGGAGTTTCCACAAGGACTCCTGTAGCCCAAGAGATCATTATTAAATAATATAGTTTACATGTAATGTACTATTTTTCCCTTATGCTCTTTTTTCAGTTATGCAATATTCTTAATTGTTCTCTTTATCTTTAGTGGTCCGGTGTCTGACCAAACCATTTGCAAGCTCTTTGAAATTGTGACTGTACAAATACATGTACATGTGTGTGGGGGAGGGATACAAAAGAGGTATTTATAATTCAGAGCTGGGAGAGTAGCATGAAGTCCCTTTTTCTTTTTATTTACCAACCAGTTTCTCTTACACCTTTCACTCTTATTTATTCACTCCTCAGCCCATTTACATTTGATTTGAAATATAGGATCAATGTGCTATTGTTTATATAAGGGGGGAATATGATCCCTTCAATATTCTCACTTACTTTGGGAGCCAAGGGTATGTTGCCCATTATTAATTACTGATAAACTTGTTTTATTCCTGCAGTTTTCCTTGACATGGAGTATGTTGTTCCTAAGGGCCAATATTGTAAACCTGCTAGCTCATGTCTGATTTGGGAATGGATCAATCTTAATGTACCTTGTTGTGCACTTTCAGTTGTGTGTATGACAGCTTTTCTGTCCTGATCTGTCCTGTATATATAGTTTCAGGGCAAGGCAATATACAGCTGTGCAGCTGTTAAGAGAGTTACCACCAGTACTTTGAGACTCCCGGTAGATGTTCCCCCACAATGGGCTGATGGAGATCTAGTTTGCTAAAGCATACAAATGCTTCACTGAATCTTTCATTCTTACTCATTCTGTTATGGATCAAGCCCTATTGTGCTAAGGGCTGCACAGACCCAAAAGGTAGGGAGAAAAACATCAATCTTTTCCTAAAAACTGTGGTCTTACTGAGAGAGAAAGAGCTTCTGATCCTTAGGACTGAAGTGTTAAAAACACAGGTTCTGATGCAATTAGTAATAGAAAAGACCATGTTGATACTTATGTATTATATTTATATAAAGATCATGAGTTGTGTGAATAATTGTTGCTGAAGAGTAGTCTTACTCTGTCATCCATCTAGAACACACTGACCTACACATTTTCTTTCATTTTGTTCTCCTTTCCAAAGGCTCTCATTTGATCCACATAAGTTGTTTTTTTCCCAATTTTCCCTGCCATCTCCACAGTTTTTTGGCTGTTTTTGTTGTTGTTGTTGGGTTTTGTTGTTGTTGGTTGGTTGGTTGGTTGTTTTTTGTTGATTTTTTATTTTTCATTTTAGTTCCCAATGCAAACAGAAGTTCAAAGTAAAATTCAGACCAAACCTTTGAATTAGATTTCTGGTCAGCCATGGGAAACCCTGCCATAGCCAGATGCTTGAATTCTTGGTGAAAATCCTCCTCATTCTTGCAGGTCATCTGTGCATCTTGCAGTGGGATTCTGCAGAAAAGGGTGGAAAGGGGAGAAATGACTGATAGAATATTCAATATGTAAACAATTAGAACAAAGAAAGACATCAACTATTTCTGCTTAACCTTGTGTGGACATTTGCTTAATGGTATTAAAAACTGGACTAGAAGTTAGGATATAAAATATAATAAAATACTTAACTCTTATTGCAAGGAAAGCCTGCAATAAACTAGCTAGGAAGCTGGTGGAATCTTTCCCTGGGGAATTTTTATGAAACAGCAACATGTCTCAGAGATGATTCAGTTATATTTATCCTACCTCAGTGCAAAGCAATAAACTGGACACTAGGAGGTCCCTCTCTGCTCTGCCTTTCCTTGAAATACAGATTGCAGTTGAAGGCACCGCATGACCAAGCCATAGCTCCCAACCATATTATATATGACTGTAATCGGTTCAACAGTATCAGAAAAAAGCTCCTGTTCATATTTTTAAGGAGTCAGGCTTCAGAAATCTGTCAGTAAAATAAAGCCTGAAAGAGAGCATTCCATCTGGGCTAACCTTTTTTCCCGTATGTCAGTCCCTGTGAAATGTTTTATGTATGTATTCTTTGGAAATCATCTAGCAGAAACAGCTGTGTGTGCTGCCCACCTGCTAAAGCCTACAATCTAGTGTTATTTCAATTAGATTTGATTGCAGGAAAAGTTTATGAAACAGCTATCAATGATTTCATGCCATCTGGCTTCCGCTTTTCTCCTGTTTAGAGGAACCCTGTGTTTACATTGATTGGCCTTCTATATATACAAGCATGATTGAGTTTTATTATTCTTTTTATTTGTCTGATAGCAGTGTGGTTGGTGCTGTACAAACTTACAATGGAAGAGAAGCTGTCAAAGATTCAAGCTGTGAGGTTCAGCTAAGACACATGTGAGGCTTCGGCTGAGAACATAGCAGAAGTGAAATTGTATTTTTATAAGCCTGGTTTATTAATTGGAATATAAAGTTTCCATTGAGGGTAAAACATACTTTATCTTGCTTTTGGCCATGTAATAAATAAGTACTAGAGCAAGACAATGCTCAGGTTCCCTTCCAGATTCAGCACAAAGAAATAGAACCTTTATGAGGAGTGGTTCCAGACAAAGTCATGTCCCAGACATTGCCTCTGGAGACAGGCCCTTTCCTCTGTTAATCATCATGGGAGCATGGACACCCAACCTAGGCTGGCTGCTTACCTTCTCAACTGCTAAAATCAAAGGAGATGAGTCCTCCCTTGGCTACTGACCTCCCAGGTGACTTTTAAACCTCCTAATTATAGAATTACTCTCTTGGGTTAAGAAATATTCTCCCATGAGTTATATTTTCTTTAGCAACGTTTAAAAGTTCTTTTTCTTCTCAGGTGAAATGTGAACACATGAATCATTTAAGACACTAACTCCATTTCTCCTTCTCTCCCTAAATTCTTCATGTTTCTCTTGTCTGTGAGGATTTGGCATGTAAAAGTCAGTCTGAAACTGGCTGTCGCAGTGGCAGAACAAATTCATCTTCTAGCTTTGACCTGCATTCAGATGTGGCAGTCTTTAAACCTGGTTTAGTTGAACTTGACATTTCAAACTAAAATGGAAAAGTTCACCCCTGTTTGGAAAAACCTACTCTAGGAAATGACAGTTCAAACTGACCCAACCATCTTGTGTATTTGTCCCTCCTGACATGAACCAAATTTAGGTAAATGAGTTGACTTTGGAATTAACACCATCTGCTCAAACTGTGTTTCCTTAAGGTTTGCTTGTGTCACTCGCCTCTTTCTTCCCAGAAGGATGACATGTTGTGTGAGGCTTGCAGAAGGGCTGGACATATGTTAGGTTGTCAAATTAAGCAGTCTGGAGGCATCCTTACTCTTTGGAACTGAGATAACCTTTTGAAACTCTGAAAAAAGTAAGAACATTCTTCCATTACAGGACACAGACCTCTTCTAAGTCAACATTTTGGGGGTTCTTCCATAATTATGTTGCTAGGTACTGCATCACAATTGAATGCTAGGTATTGGCAGAAATTAGATTAAGAGAAACTGGATAAAACTGTAAGCAGTCTGGTGAACAGTGTTTCCCTTTAATTTTTACAGTGTCCAGTAGAGTGGGCATTCTGACTTTCTCTGCTTTGTGTGACTCTGGCACAGGTGTCAAAGTGCTGTTTTAAACCAGTGTGCAAGCATATGATAAAACTTCAGTGGAAATTAGCTGTCTAAAAACAGTGCAGACCTGGTGCTAGGTACTTGTAAGGTGAGATCCACTCTATCTTTTATGCCCTGCTTTCTTTTAAGAATAGATTAAGAACATCAGTTGTCTATACACTATCCTTGCTTTCTCTATTGCACCACATTTTCAAATATTTTACTCAGAAAAGAAAAACTGCACAGGCCAGGTAGAATGGAAAACAATGTACTTTTAGTGCATTTTTAAACCAAATATTTGAAGAAAGCGAACAATTCTCTTCAAACCCAATGAAAGTGGGGGAAAAGACAAACATTTGCTTTTGCAGATTTCCTTATGAATTATTTACTACTTTGCTAAAGAAACTTATGCTAATAATATTGTAATAAGCGGTGCAGCTCTGACTCATATTTGGCTGAAGACATGTGTGGGGAGAGCTCACAAAACTTTGTTTAGCCTCCCACAATTCTCCGGACTACAAATAGTATAATCAGCCCAGTAGTGCTGAATGTACATGAATGTAGACAGACACAGAGTATAGCTTGCACATACTTACAAGACCATATTTAAAGAGTAGCTAAATATTGATTTCACCATTCATCTTTATTTTTATTGTCAACTTGCATGACCAGACCACCTAGTAGCTAGATTAAATATAATCTAAGATATCTGTAAAAAGATTGTGTCTGAAAACATCTTTAAGACTAATGACAATGAACCCTACTCTGATAGACTCAGGGTGTACCTGGATTCAGCCTTGCTTTTCCTTAACAGGTAAGGAATTGAAACATGTGCTAACACCACAGATACACTAGGGCACCTCCACTTTCCTTCCTTATGGGTTGCACTCATTACCTCACTGAAATCAGCTGCAAGATATTTTGTCTACCTATGCAAGAACATCTAGGCACCTAAATCTGAGAAATTTCGAAACAGGGAATTTAGGAAGCTGAATGACTCTGGGTTTCTGGACTTCAGTGATTTACTCAAAGCTGTTGCATGAGTCTGGGGAATAACCAGGTCTTGACCCAAACCTTGTAAGTTCCAGCACAGAACTTTACCTCAAGATGAATCTTCCTATAATTGAAATTACACTTTGAAACTGTTTAATGTGCAGTTATCACTAGATCAATTCCTTTAGATTCATATATATATAATGTTACTTAAATTCTTAAACTGATAAGATTTATACTGGTCCTTAATGCTAATCCTCTCGTCTTGGTTGGACAGATCACATCTCTAAAGTAAGCAACATGGATAAGTCTTTGCAGGAATGGGGCTTAATCACAAAAAAATAAAAAAATAAAAAATAAAATAAAATAAAATAAAATAAAATAAAATAAATAATAAAATAAAATAAAATAAAATAAAATAAAATAAAATAAAATAAAATAAAATAAAATAAAATAAAAAGTCTGTAACAACTGCCTTTTCTCCAGGTTGATGAATGCAACCTTTGGTAAAAAAGGAAGAACCCCCACCCTCATCAACACAGAAAACAACAACCCTGACAACAAGCTAATACAAAGACTGTGAAAGACCTGGGTTATTACCATGAAAAGAAAATCAGCAATACAATTGGCAATTTAAGAACAGAGACTGTCATTAAATAAATACATGTGCAAACCAGAGCCTAGTATTATTGCCAAAAATAGACCTGCAGAATATGGAAGTGATTAAGCTATTTCATTTGAAAACCTTCTCATACTTTGGGCCTATCTGATCTTAGATGTGCAGTATGAACAAACAGTATTTGTCATGCATAAATATATACATATTCTCTGTCTGTGTACAGAATAATCTCAAAGTGTAGGGAAGTGGATGAGAATAAGTGAAATAATCTTGGACCATTACCTGCAAAAAATCAAATGCAAAAATTTTGTTACAAAATCTCAAATCATTATGGTTTTGTTAGAGACTTAAAACATATCTCAGATTTGTCAGGAGATGAAAAATGGCTCATGAAATGTCTTGAATAAGTGAAGGTTTATTTATAATTCTCCATCGAACCCATGCAGATCTTTGTTTTTCTGCATGGTTTCAGACTGATAGGAAATAACATTTTGTGGCTTGACACTTTCATCTGTGTTTCACCATAGGAGGTTTTCGTAACTCTGGATAGATCTTCAGCTGGTGTAAATTTTATTCCAGCTGAGCATCTGGTCCTTATTTTCACTGGTTTTATATTAGCTGAATGAATAACAAAGCTGTGAAGAAATATGTTCATAAAATGAACATGGTATTCAAAATATATTGCTTGAAAAGAATTGTTTCAAAACAGATGCTGGATTATGCATATGTGAGAGGATTCCACTTGTTCTATTTAATCTCTTCCCAATATTGCTACATAAGGCACACAATAATTTAAGAGAATAAGGACAAAGGGAAGAGCTTGAGCAGTACAGATCCTCTAGATGGAAACTCAGAACAAAATGTATATGCACCAAAGCATCTCTAACATCCAAGGTTATCACTTGTTCCTACTCAGATATATTGTGCACCTCAGAACCTATTAAATACTACTGTACTTTCTGTTGCTCCCTTGTGTTAACTATGTGCAGAACGAGCTGGAGAAGCACAGCCAATGCCTCCAGGTGCCACATGGCCCAAACTGCAGAAGGGTTAAGCACTGGGTTAGAGAAGGGCTGCCTTCTTACTCTGTGTGGTTTGGTGTTTTGTGTGTGTGTGTGTTTCTTAATTTATTATTATTATTATTATGACACACTGACAAGATGTGGAGTAGTGATAGGCGATATATGTTATAAATATGAAACTATACATGAGCTGCAAAACATTTGGTTGTAAAGAAAACTTCACAATATACAGTACCTTGGAATAGCTGGAGGACCTCTGAAATGCAGAAGCAAAGGAGCGGTGGAGGTTGCTGTACCTGTCTTTCTAAGCAAGTAGTGCTCTTCTCCCACAACAATGATGCAGCATCAGATATCTCTGGGGAGGTATAAATCATGATGTATGTTCACCTAAATTTTCTACAAGTGCACATATTATGCATACTTCAGCACCAGAACCACAACCTCACATGGTGTTACAATGAGACACAAACTTGGGTTTGCACTCTTAATATCTAGAAGAAATGTAGGTATTATGCAGCCCAAATTGCTAAGAGCAAGAAATAAAGAGGGCTCAAACACTTCAGAGTGTTAGAACTGTTATATAGCTCAGTCATAGAATCATTGAATAACAGGTTCAACTCCTGAGCAGGATTGTACCTTATTCTGTTGATGAGTGAATTTCAGATGCTTAAAAATACATAGAGAGCTTGTGCAGACAGATAGCAAGGAAATTCAGCTAGGTACTTGTTCAAATGAGTAAAGGTGAGATTTCTTAGCTTCCTACATGTACCCTAATTCCTTAAAGAACACTGGGTCATATGTGCAACCCAGCTGATAAATGAACGCACCTCTTTCAGAAAATAATTCTAATCTTCTGATACTGGCTGTCTTGAAATGTTTGCTCAGTGGGACATGAGAAACCAGGGCTGAAAAGTTATTACTGGCTCTTCCCTACCTGGCATGGCTTTAACAAGCTTTAGTAGCTATATTTCCAAGTTATTCCCAGGGTAAATTCTTTGGAAATTTTCTCATCTTGGGAAACATATATATACACGTATTTTTTTCAATATTTTCATGAAATAGGGTTCCCAAAGGCTTTTTTACAGAACAGGAAAAATTGGTTTTGTGACTGAGTTTTTAAATGGGATGGGAGATGGTTAAATACCTGGAGAAACTGTATTGCCCTTTTCCAGAAATGAGTTAGTCAACCAAATCCCCAAACATACCTGGATTAGAGTATTTCAAATTGTTCCTCATCTTCAAGAAAAGCAAAAATCTTTGAAATACTTCCTCTTTATGTTTCACCCACAAGTTTGCTTTTAAGAAATACCCCTTAGTATTTGACAGTTTGAAGCAAGCAAAGAATTTTGGGCAGCATTTGAACTTGCTTGTCCTAATATTTGAAGCACTTCTGTTAAAAGTAAATAAGACTGTCCTTTGATGAAAATACTGGATGATGTGCCATTCGCCTTAAATCCGAGCTGAAAAAGAAATCAATTAGCAACGAGAACAGATAACTCTAAGATATATTTTGCAACAAGAGGACCAGCAGAGAGAGGGCAATTTAGAATGATAGCTACATCAAGCACAGCAGAGTTGATTAAAAATTTAGCAGTTCTGCTGATGAATGTCCTAGTTCAGATTTGGAAAACATCTATGAACTTAATTTTCCACTGATTAAATAATCATTTTATAAACCGTGTATAATTCATGTAATGTTAACTCGACAATCTTGTGAAATATGACTGCAGCTAAACAGTTAACACATGCCCACTGAAACAGGACTTGCAGCAGACCATTAGAATCAGCTGGACTGAGCAACAACCCCTGATCTCTGCTGCCTGATTCATTCACATTTTTCACTGTCACTGAACATAGCACTATGTGTACCATCCAAGATAGTCCTGCAGGACCAGATCCCCATTACAAGTGTTTCCAGATGAGGGTCCTTAAAGGTGGGTGTCTGAATCCAAGGTTCAGTGTCTTCATACAAAACCTACACTTGAGCAATGCTGAACAGTAATTGATCTCAGCTAAATCCTCAAGAAGTGAAGAGTAATCATAATTGATTTCAAAGAAAACAAGTGTCCTCCAAAGTGAAAAAACAGGATAACCTAGGTTATCCTTCATTGACTTCAACCCAGATGGTTATGGTGTGGAATTGTATTATGCCCTGGAAAACATCACAGCTTTACTGGAAAATAAATAAATAAATAAACAAATAAACACCACTGAAGTACAGACGCAGAATTAGCCATCTTTCTTAGTCAGGTAAGGGTGATACCTTTGTTAAAATGTAAAGCAGCAAAATTGCATATCAAAAAATAGTTATATAGATAATCAGGCAAGGCAGATTGTCAATAGAAGGGCAGGCTTTGATGAAAAACTCAATGGGACTTAGCTGGAAAAATATGAATTCACATACGTGGAAATTAAGAGACAGTTGATAATTATTAGAAAAATCAGAGTCTGGAAAGGTATCTTAATCACCATGATACCAACTAAACCAGAGTTCAGTAGGTCTACAAAATGAGTGAGATGTAGAATGATATGGCGAAGAATCACACTGATAGACCTAGTGTGAAAGGAAGATGTACAATAACATACATTGTTTGTAAATCAGCAAGAAGAGAGCAGGGTAGAGTTGAAGAAATTGGGCTTCCTGCATCATACCAGCAAAGATGATAAGAGGCCTATTTCAATTTAATATTTTAAGATTTCTCCAGAAAAAAAAAAAAAAAAAAAAAAAAGTGAAACCTTAAGAATATCAGCACAAGAAAGAATACTTTAAAGTCTTGTATTATTTCAAGTGTTTTTAATTGTGATTTTTACAATTTCTTGCCATTCAAATATTGTTTTATTTATACTACAAGTGATGTGGAGCAATCTAGCCTATTTTTGAAGAAAATGGAAGAAATGAATATCCCAATTATAACTTTTCCAAGTATTCTCAGCGTAAATCCAAATAAAACCCAACAAAGCTGGGCTGGCTCACAGCTTTGAAATGTGCTTGAGATTTGCTGTAAATATTGAAATCACATTTGCATTGCAGCTTTGCCCGGGTTTCATTATGAGGTGTTAGTTTCACTGATGCCTCAAGGACTGTGAGCTCAGATTCAAACTAGTGAGAACTTTGACATGCACATTTGCAAAATACCCTCAGTGAAGCATTGCACAGCTTTGGCTCTGCCTTGTACCTCCGAGCATTCACTCTGAGTTCTAGAATTTGGAGGCATTACAGAAGCCAAAAACACGTGGGAAAAAAAAAAAAAAAAAAAAAAAAAAGAGAGAGAGGAAAATGTATGTGCACTACAGTCAAACTCCTTTAGATGCTGAAATTGCTCATATGTGGGACTTCTAATTGCCAAAACTTCTAGCTGTTCCTTTCCTGTTTTCTTCACCTACAGTCCATGCCAAAACATCTTATTTTTGTTCATTCTGTAGCAGATTTTGTGTGCAATTTCTGTGCTTGTTGTCTTGCTCTGAAGATTATCAAAAGCTTGAAGGAAAATCGTAGAATGGCTGAGGCTGGAAGGGACATCTGGTGGTCATCTATTTCAACACGCCTACTCAAGCAGGGCCACCCAGAGCAGGTTGCCCAAGACTACATACAGGTGGCTTCTGAAGATTTCAAAGCAGGGAGACTCCACAATCTGTCTGGGCAATTTATATTCCAGTACTCCAGCACCCACACAGTAAAGTGCCTCCTGGTGTTTAGATGGAAAAGCTCATTGACTGAGAGTTTTTTCTTGGCTGAGGCCCACAGCAGAACTGCTGCTGCTGCTATGCAAAAGGGACCAACTCACAGAGGCTTAAAGCACAATCTAAAATCTGGCAAGGACCAACAGAGGAAGCCTAAGCTAGTTTTTAAAACATGCCAGTGCTTCTAATGTATGTAAATATCAATGTCTATAAATACTTCAGAAGAGAATGCAAAGACAATGGAGCCAGGCTCTTTTCAAGGGTACCCAGTGACATGACTAGAGGAACACTACAGGTTCTCTCTGAACATCAGGAAGCTCTTCTGTGCTGCGTGGGTGATGGAGCAGTGTCATGGGTTGCCCAGAGAGACTGTGGACTCTCCTCCTTAGAGAGCTTAAAAGGCTGCCTGGATGTTGTCCTGATCTGCCTGCCCTTGGTGGCCCTGCTGGAGCAGCGTTGGACTACCTGGCCTGCAGATGTCCCTGCCAGCCTCAGCCATGCTGTGAGTCTGTGATCTGGACCCTGCCCAGTGTCTGGTGATGACAAATAAAGGCAGTTTCTCTCCCCCTGAAGGTGTAAGAAAATGCTTAGATGACAGATGTCCTTCTGCCCAGCTGGGCCCTTGCTTTTGAAATCTTCTTTTTGCTTATGGAGGCAGCAACATGGTCTCAGCTAAATGCTACAACACTTGTTCTGTCACTGGGTGACATAATGTTGCCATAGCAATGCTTGGCAGCATTTCATAGAGGATTTCTGCATTTCAGATAATGGAATTCAAAAGGGCTTTGGTCTGAACTTTTCTGGGTCATTTTGAAACAGAAGATCCTGTTCTTTTATCTGTTATAATGAAGGGGGGGACTGATGGGGGGTAGAGGAGAGAACCCAAATCTGAAGCAGTGTAGTTGCAAGCATGCCAGGGACAGCTCACTTAAAACTGGGAGGAGCTGACCTTCAAGGCACATTTGGTATCTCCTCCACCCATTTATTTCCTTACTTAAGCTTGAAGCTGTTCTGATGTTTGACTTTTCACTTATAGGCATATGCACTAAAGCACACACATCTCTTTGTAAATTAATAGCTATCATCCGTCATGTAAAATGGTATTTCAAATTTATATCACTGGCTTTTACCAAGAGGTTTCCTCATCATGAGTTGTCATTCTCAGGAGGCGCAGGAAGTACTCTGAAAAATCAATGTCTGTTTTTGAATAATGGGAATATCTGCTTTTGAAAGTGATGTTATTTCATCAGATCAACTTTTTAATACACACTGTTTATACTCCATTAGATTACTAAAATTATTTAAAGAAAGTTGCAGTGTGTGAAACTCATGAATTTTAATAATTATCATCAGAAAAATCAGATTAAAGATTATCAAATTTAGCACGAAGTCATAATATTGTGGGAAGTTTGATTATCTCTATTAGGCAATAGAATATTGGTATGTTTTCAACACTCAGATACTTCCTACATTATTGACCAAGTATACACATTCTGGTTTCAAGGAAAAAGAAAAAAATATTCAGCTTGCTTTTATATAGAAAATACCTGTTTCTTATAAAAATGACTTTGCTAAGAATTACTTATTAAGTTCTCAAACATTTGTTTCAAAATATCTTTGAGGCAGAGAGTATGTGGGAGGATTATAGGTCTATGGATCTGGTCATAATGCAAAAGA